ATTCACTAAAAATGTGTATCTTGATGCCGGGCAAGTCTAATTCGAGAAATATAGGCAAGCATTTGTTTTCAGTATTGGTTCTAGAGAAAATCAAGGCACATGGGAATAGATGCAACTCTGACCCAAAACAAGTTTCACTAACTCCTGATAATCCCAGAGTGTGGCTGTGATTCAGAACACCACCTCAAGGCTATCAGCTAGCTCAGTGCTTCCTGAGAGTTAAAGAAGTCAATGGGAGCATGCATTTGTCCAGTCACTGTGAATTCCCTTCTTGGTAGATCTTTTGCCAGCTTTAAGACAATGCTCATTGTGAAATTCAGGGGAGATGGGATTGTGTAAGAGATTGCATATTCAATTGAACTAGACACTTTTTTTTTTAATTCCTTCAAAAAACTGAGCTACTTCTACTTAATGGAATATTCGGCGAGAACAAATAATCAACCAATAATCTATTGAAAATAGATTTCCAGAGGCCGAGAGAATTTGAGAAAGTCTGGTTTAATCTTTTAGCTTTTGCACATTCAAAATAGGAAACTGGAGTGATGGTAACGGGCTTGGCATGTTATGTAAACATAGGGCCTGGATTGAGGTCTCCAGCACCAATGTAACATGAAGTTCGGTCTGGAGGGAAACACCTGCAACTCAGTCCTTGGTGGGGAGGGGTAGACAGGAGGGTCCCTGGAGCTCTCTACTCATCTATACTCTCTCTCTCTCTCCCTCTTCCTCCCTCTCTTTTTCTCCGTCTCTCCCTCTCCTTTTCTTTCTTTTTTCCTTATTTATTTATTTATTTATTTATTTATTTATTTATTTATTTGAGACAGGTCTCACCATGTATCGCTGGTTGGCCTCGAATACCCCTTGTGGACTAGACTGGACTCAAACTCAGAGATCTGCCTGGCTCTGATTCCTCAATGATGGGATTAAAGTCACACATCACCATGCCAAGCTCTAACTATTCATTCTAGTTGACTGAGTAAACTCCCTGTTCAGTGAAAAACCCTGTCTCAAAAAGAAAGGTAGAGAGGGTTGCAGAGATGGCTCAGGGGTTAAAAAGCATTTGCTGTTTTTAGAGAGCAAATTTGTTCAGTTCCCAGCACCCACATGGTTGCTTACAACTGTCTCTGTAACTCTAGGTCCAGAGGATCCAGCAGACTTCTCTGGACTCTGCAGCCACCAGACATATATCCAATGCACTTATGTACATTCAGGCAAAACAGACACATAAAATAAAAAGAAAGGAATCTTTAAAAAGAAAATGAGATGGAAAACAACAAATATAAACACCTAACATCAGCCACTGGATGCCATAAGTCTATGCATATCCAACATGTACACCTGCAGGTGTGTGTGCACACTTCTCAGACACTGCTATATCTTTTGTTTTGCTTTACACACACACACACACACACACACACACACACACACACACACACACACACACAAGAAACCTCTCTCCTCATGCCCAAGATCTGGATGGAAAGGAAGTACAACTTTCTCTGATAATCCGCATCCTTGAACACATTTGAGACCTGATTCTTTGAGGATCTTTGTCATTTTCATTTGTCAGTGTCTCCCTCAGAAGTATGATAAATGAAAGCACCAGAAACTCACAACTGTGAGAGAACACTATGATCAGCTATTAAAATAAACACTTCTGAGTCAGGCAGATCTGAGTTTAATAAAATTCTAGTACTTCCTAGATGTTATCTTTGGCAGTTGTTAAACCTCCAAATTTCAGCTCCTCCTAGAAATCAAAACAATGGGAACCCTGCAACCCAGCACTGTTCTCTTGAACAGAAACGAGTCTATAAGGTGCTTGCAGCAGCTCTGCCGTGGGTACTCTTCCTCACACCTGTAGTCTAATCTGCTGGTTCCTTCACCTTGCAGCTGTCAAGAGTCCTCTCTTGCTCCACACTCTCTTCATATCCCTCTCTGGTGTGGACACTGCTCCAATGAGGAAAACAGGTTTGGCTCTGCAGAAATAAGTGGAGGTCACAGAACTCAGAAAGGAGTTAGGACAATAGCTAAGGTATTGGAAAATGGACAGAATTAATTTGCCAAAAAAAGAAGATAAGAAGATGGCTCAGGTCATGGTAATAAAACTATCTCCATTCCTGTTCCTTGGTTGTATAGGTTAGCTCAACCATTGAATACTGCCACCGGTCGTAGAGACCGGAAGATTCCAAATTTGAATTTCAGGAAAGGAAAATGATATTGTGCTTTTCATGACTCGGCCTCCAACATTGTCTGTGATTTGATTTCTTTTCGTGTTTACATTTTAATATTATATGAAAAACTGTGCAAAGTATAGCGAATGATTTTTGTGATTGGCCAAAATAACTGGATTTTCTATTATACAAGGGTAATTAATTGACTTAGAAAGTAAGAGAGTAATACATTTCCCAAGTACTGCTGTTACTGGCAAGGATGCCCAACCTTTTAACATTGCAGCATATTGTTGCCAACTACAAAGCTCATGTCTAAGAACCATCAAATCAAATGATATTTTTTAAAAAGCAACAAGGAAAGCAAAAGCTTTGGGACACTGGAGAAACAGCTCATTGGGTGAAGTACTTGTTGAACAAATGTGAACAGCAGGATTTGTGTTCTCAGTGTCCATGTAAATGCCAGGAAGGTGGGTGTGGTGGCCCACCTGCAATCTGCCTAGATAGATTAAACCAATAGACAAGCTCTGGGTTCATGTTCGAGACCCTGCCTCACAGTAGAAAGTGGAGAGTGATCAGGGAAGACATCCAAGGGCAGTCTCTGGTTCCCCACACTTCTGTGCATACATGCATAAACAACCATAAATGCACCTGCACTCCCACACAGGAGAAAACACACAGAGACATTTTTAAATCATACATGTGAACAACCAGGATATTTTAAGTCAATCTGCAATTTTCTTGGACTACATTCATAGGTGTCCATAGCTAGCCCAGGGCTGCAGGTGGGGCATTTAAAGTTAAATATTAGTGTTTGTGAAGGCTGGTGTGACCTGAAAGCCACAATGCTCATGTGCCTACATCTTCATGCATGGCTTATTCAGTGTAAGTCATTGTTGTTGCCTAACTGAAAGCGTTTTGAAGGTAACAAGTAAAGAAAAATAAATAACTACTAATAGTCCCTCATGTCTATCTATAGTTTAAATAGTCATTTTCTCCCACAAACATGTTTATTATAGAGTTTCCATTAACCTAAAGAAAATCTCTAAGACATCAGGCTGAAATGTGTTAATTTGTGATTAATGTGCCCCCATGTTTGGGATTTGCCTGCTCAAGAAGCTCCTAGTGAATAACTAGATGTTTGGAAGCCTAGTAATATTCAATTTGGACCTTGCACAAAAGCAGCCGCCTTTGATCTCCCAAAGCACTCTAAATTACGTCTCTATAGGGACAAGAAAATAATTTAGGCCTACCTAAATGCCAGTCTTAAAAGGAACTGGTTCTTTTCCTTTAACGCAAGTCTTCTATTGATCAAACTGAAAGCCACTCTAAAGAAAATCTTTTCATTTTCATTTTTTTTCCACCGACAAGTAATTGCATGTGCATATAGGATCTGCAGTGATGCTTCATGTACACTTTTTGTGCTAATTTGAATGTTCATCTTCTTCACATATTTATCATTCCTTTGTGATAAGAACATTCTTATCAGCCTACTCTGAAATATACAATTTATTGTAAAGTACAGTTACCGTGTTGAGCAGCACCAGTAGGGGAAACCTAGTAGAAAGGGGAAGCATTTATTCCACAGGTGCAAAGTCAGACAGGAAGGGTCAGTGCTGAAGGAACTCTGGAAGCAGAGTTCCTTGAGCTTTCTGGCTCAAGCAGCAGGCAGCTTAGCTCCGCCCACACACACTGGCTACAGCAATGTTTTAACCTTTAGTGTCCCACAGTATTGCTGAAGGTACAGTTAATATTATAAAAGAGTGCTGTTCCTTGTTTCTTTACATATTCCCAACATAACTTCTGTCTGGGTTAAGTAAGTGAACAGCAGAAACATCCTTAGTGAGGTATAACAAAATTACTGTGTGGAGTGAATACTGACTCAGGGGCACATTGAGAGAAAATAGGTCCAGGTCCAGGGCTCAGAAAAGATAACGGTTTTCAAAAGTAGTTGCAAATGCCCAGGATAAACAAAGTGCATCCAAATGCAGGTAGGTGTTGGTGGCAGGTGGGGGAATGGAAGTGTGAAAATGTCAACCCTGCACACCTATGAGGGCTCACACATTTGAAAAGAGCATTACCAGAGTTAAGTGCATCACAAAGCCAAGAAAGGGCTCTGTGGAAAGGGCTCTCCTAGCTCTGTGGAAAATGCAATCACCGGAACGTTTGTTTTAAATATAAAAGCTAATGAGATAATCAAGAGGATAGTAGCACCACATTTTTCTCTTCAAGTTTTATTAAAAACACACTACATAGATTCGGAATAAATGATCACACTGAGAAGCAAAGCAAGCCAATACTGTTTTTTAGCATGAATAGATAAGGGTCCTGAAGCCTCCTTATGCAAATTTAAGTTGACAAAATTAGTATTTTTCAGCTCTAAAATTATATACACAAAAAATGGCTAACTCAGTAGGGCCATGACTATGCTGGAATCTGACTGAAAATAGAACAAAATTCTCCATATGGTGAAGGTCTCTACATTCTATTTTTAAAAGATTTGGGAAAAGATGGATAGGAAATATAACAAAACGCCTGCTTCAAATGTGGTGTCGTGGCTGAAGTTTCCTATTTTTATACTTCTAGTCCTATATTTTATTTAATCCACATTTTATTTTTTTATTATCCTTTAGGCCAATGAAACAAATTTTCTACAAGATAAAAATTCAGAAATGGACATATTTCTGTTTCACCAGAGATGAACATTCACACCCCAAAACTCTAGCAGCTTTCCAGACTTTTCTTTTTAAACTCTCT